ATTTCATTACATACTTTATATTATTATTGTATATATTATTTTAGTTATTCATCTATTATAATTTTATTGTATTATTATATATAATTCCCCTTGGAGAGCACCTGTGTTAGTCACTGCCAGACACACACTGTGGTACACTGGCAATTCACAGACCTCACAAAGTCGTGAACGGAAGTTACCTGTAAGATGAATACAGGTTACTGTGGTCTCCGGTATAGCAGGGAATTATATCCGATATAATTCCCTGGGTATAGTAGCTGCGGTAGCAGGTGGGGGTGTGGTCATAGCAGTGGCAGGTTAAGTTATTTCATGCTCAAGCCCTGAGCCCTGATAATTCCTCTATAATACTTCCTTCGCTAAAATGAAAGCAACTATATTAAATTTTAAAAACAGGTTATAGATTATTGCAGTACTCGACCAATACGCACGCTTTTAGACTTGGCTGGCATAGGCTTTTAAACACCTATCACTTTAGAGAGCACACTTATGATAATTGTGCACTTACCTGGTGACATTTGACGTCTTTTAAGATTGATTGTGATTTTTATTTCTATAAAAATCACCGCAGAACATCAGGATTGAGTAGTTTGATATTCTTTATTTGAATAAATGATAAAAATGTGAATATATGCACCGTTCTTTTCGTTTATTTTTTTCCTGTATTATAATCCATGTTAAATATGGTGTTTTTTGGGATAAAATGGTAAGTGATAATCTTAAAAAAAAAAAAAAAACGTGAAATTGGAGGGTTCACAACTTATGTATCTAGTGGGTATGTATTTGAGGGAATTGCCCCTTTCGGTTACTTAAAATGAAAACAATAGTAATTTCTGGTCATTTGCAGTCATTTTCTATGCATTTTACTACTCCATAGTTTAACAAGAGAGGCGCTGGTATCAATGTACTAAGTAGTACTGACATCACCCTAAATAAAACGAAAACACTAAAGGAGATAAAAAGAAATGTTAGGAGGAATCTTTTGTTAAAAACGCAGGCTAATATGTAGGCCTATTCTCTTTGAATGGCTCTGCTTAAAAAAGATTAAATTGCCTTATGGTAGAGAAATCTACTGCCTTAGTATTATGAACAATGACAGAAATGTTGTGATCCATATTGCAGCTTCCTTGCCCTTCAGCTAACGGGATTGCTATTTCACAGATCCTCATTTCGATTAATTCCTGTGCCATGCAGGTAATTTCCATTATAAACCATTAAACCAACCTGCATGTAATAACTAAAGCCATGCTATTTTTCCTTCTCTATTCGACATCATTGTAAACAACAGGCCCTGGTTTCACACACACACACACACACACACACACACACACACACAAAAAAAAAAAGCTTTTGTCACTTCCCTGGCCAAGTTGACTAAGATTTATATGAATTTACATGAGAGTGCTGTTACACTGCTCCTGTAATCTCCCATGTAACCTTGGCCATTAAGTTATTAGCCATTGAACCTAAGTTTATTTATTTATTTATTTTTGTACAACCGGGACCAGGACGTTCCTGACACCTTCGTGGGAAAATACAGAGAACTGGTTTCGCCGGCTTAGTCTTTTTTTTCAGTACTAACCGGTCATTACTCCACTGAATACACAGCATACCAGACCTGGAAGAACTTTGAAATAACTTTATGCTCTTCACTTGGCTTTATTCCTTGTTCGAGTACTTTCGAGAGAAGACCACGGCATGCACATTTTTAAGAGGGTTTTAATAATTTTTTCCTCAATTTACACGAGTTTAACATGATTTTAACACATACTCGTACTAGTGCATATTAATCTTGAATTATATCATCAGTGAAGGAAAAAATCAAAATCACAGACCTTTGTTTTTGCTTTATTTTCCACATTTGCTTCGAAACATTCACCAGAAAATTTCAAAGTACACCCCATTCCACCATAACCACGTTATTCCCTCAAAGTACCCTGTTGTCAAGGGACCGGTATACTTAGGCTGCATTCACATGCAATGTCTATTTTCTAAATTTTTCTATTCGCGGCATGTCTTATGATCACGGTATGTGCCCTGAATATCCCGCGGCGTAATTACTGGCAGCGCGAGCCAGTTACTATAAGTTACTTTAAGTAACTGGCTCGCGCTGCCAGTAATTACGCCGCGGGATATTCAGGGCACAGACTATGATCATAAGATACCGCGAATAGAAAATAGACTTTTAGAAAATAGACTTTCCATGTGAACGAAGCCTTAATGTTCACAAATAAAACCAATTTAGGTAATAGCAAGCCTCTGTGTTATCCAACCCTCTATACACAGGGTGTCTCCATTTCTTTGTATACATGTACAGATACATTCCTGGGTGATTCTGCTCTGTTGCTTAACCGGTGTTACAGGAATGGTAGTCCGCAAGTGCGTGTCACATTACTTCGTATGGGTGACATTCGTCCCATATACATACGTATCAACCCCAATACTACCAGGCCCGTAGCCGGGGGAGGGAGGGGGGTAGGAAAAGGTGCCCTGTGAGTGTGGATACAATTTTATTTAGGTACACGAAAGTTTCATGATAACAGGTCCACTTTTTCAGAAAAAGAATTTCCCTTTTGAAATAGCTGGCTACGGACCTGACTTCGAATAACCCTAACACTAATCATAAATAGGACCCCGGACTTTCATTCCCGTCACGCTGGAGAACTGCACTTGAGGAAAAAAACCTTGGACAAATAAAATGCTTACTTCGCCCAAGACATAAATTTAGAAGTTGATTGTAGTTGAGAATCATCCTTAGATTCCCAACTTGAGCTTTGATCTCATTTAACACAACATATACTTGCATTCTCTTTTAAAATTAACAAAAACTTAAAGCAATAATACAATATTTAAAAAAATAATATCCCCTAACTTTGCTTTTTGATTAGACTGCGTACTTGTTATGGAACTGTAGAAATCGTAACACCTATTCGATCTCTCCAATTTAAGTCTCCCAAATCAAGTTTAGGCCTATATGTAACATATAATAATAACGCCCCCTTCCCTAAAATGAAATAAAAAAGTAAAATTTAAATAAATGTAAATAAAGCAGTAAATTACAATTGCTTACAACCAGTCTTATGCGACATCTAGCCCAAACACAGGGCTGTTTTTACCACTCACACATAACTTGAACTCATTTTAAGGTCGACACAAACACAGCATATCTAGGCCATACAGGTAAGCCTATTATCTCTATGTGCTGCTCTCCCACTACTTATATATATAAAACTTACTAAACCATTTTGTCTTTTGTCACAGAGGATACTATTGAAAATGGACAAAAGCTAGCATTATTCTGAAGACCAAAATTATAAGGCATGATAGATCCGTTACAAATTCATAGCTTGACAGTACATGTAAATGGGTTAACGTTGCCGTGCACAATTCATAAAAAAAAAAAAAAAAAAAAAAAAATATATATATATATATATATATATATATATATATATATATATATATATATATTGATGCTTCAGAGCAATAGTCACCTTAGACTGATGAGCTCTACATATCAATATGAATTGTAAATCGTGAAGTAATAAAAAAAAATCCAATTTTAAGTGAAGACCAAACTTCAGGCGTAGTTTTTTCAAAGCTAGACGTGTGCAAGACACCATATTTTCTTTAAAAAAAATAATAATAATAAAAACTGTCCTCCTTCTTGGAAATATTGGAGTGCACAGTTGCTGTGCAAAGAAACTATTTATATTAATGTATACAGGTACGCACTCAGCTGATGAAACTGGATTATTTTTTTCAGAAAACAACATTACAGAGGACTATCACATATTTCGTGTTGATCTTGCCAAAGATATCTACAAGCAACACCATATCTTACTTGCAAGGAGTTCAAAGTTTAAAGCTTGTACATGTATACTACAGCATAAACCTGTAAGAATTTGATTTTTAAATAAAAATAATTCTTATGTAGTATGTGGGTGGTTTGTCTGTCGGTGGCTAGATGGTCCTCATCGATTCCGACAGACAAACCACATACTACAGCATAAACCCATGAGAATTTGATTTTTAAATAAAAATCATTTCTATGAAATATAGAAGTCATATTTTGGTTTGAATATCATCATCATCAACAGCCAAGCTTAACATGCATATATACCAGAATAAGGGGGATTGTGTAACCTTATATAACATTGAAATTTTGTATGGAAATACATCCTTATCAGCTGGAATTAAAGTATCATTATGTGCACAAAGATAAAGGCTAATAGGCATATAATAAGTACTGAAAAAAAAAAAAAGAGATATGTCTGCCTAAAAATAGAATGTTATAAACATACTTGGATCAAGGATTTAATAGCCATTATCTGATCTGCAGTTACAGTGCAAAAAGAAAAAAAAAACTTGTTAGACTGATAAGAGACAGCTGAAAAGAGCATGCATTTTTCATTGGTACCTTGAAGTACACAGTACACAGTGCACAGAAGTACACATCACAACCACAAAGTTTAAGTGAGCAAAGCTAATAGCACTTACATGTACAGAAGACCATTATCTATTCTGAATTAAAAGAGTATCTGGGGATAAGTCTATATTCCATACGTTGAGATCCCTTGCCACATAATCACATCAAAAAAATGCAATAATGTCACACCGCAAAACACCATGCTGTGATATGTTTCACATTCTTTTTGATCATAACATGTGACAGTTTGTTAGTACTAAATGGCATATGATGTTGTCACAATTTCTATAAAATGACATTTGACAAAAAAAAAAAAAAAAAAAAAAAAAAAAAAAAAAAGCCCCTCATATTTATATATAATGCACTATTATGTCACAGGTCCTGTTGCTTGACATGACAGGACATCATGCGTCTCTCATATCTTGAAATGTCACAGATGATATCATATAACACAGTGTGTTAACACAACTGCCCCTTGTTTAACAAGTGTGAAATCTCATAGCCCCATAATCACATGACGCACTGTGATGTCACAGCTCCAGTCACATGACATGCTGTGACATCACACACTTGTGCCTCATACCACATGATTCGATACTTTCGATCCGCCTTGATGCTCCCCTTTGGCTAGATTGTCCTCAATCTGTCTTTGGTTCTTTTCCTCCTTCATTTTCACGAGAGCGTAGGCCAGTGCTCCTGTCATCACCATTATATTGCTCACCCACCACAACCAGGGTTTACTCTCCTGATAGATAGTCACCGCCATAATTGTCTGTACCACAGACTTAGCATTATTGCTCACATGGTGAGTCACTGGGGAGGTGTAGTGAATCTGCAAGGCGCTGGCCCATGCAATGAGAAAGCCCAAAATACCCGATACAACCATGGCCATCCAGAAGTACACATCGCTGGCTTTGTCCGACAGCCAGAAGGCTTCTAATTCCCCACTTGCTAACACTAATGGGGTGAACAACATGGCCGCGTTGAAGTTGTTGTAGAACGTCACTCTGGCCGAATCCTTGTCGACAATATCCAGTGCTTTTTTGATGGTGATGCCCACCAGAGCCACAAAGACACTCGTGGTCACGCCATACATCACACCGCGGACCGACAACGTCCCCGCAACTTTTTCTTGATCTACACCTAAAATGAATCCACCAACCACGATAAGGCAGCAACAAATTGCCTTCCAGGAAGAGTACTTCTTAAGAATAATTGCAGAGAACATAACTGTGAATATCAAAGTCATAGAACGTGCTATTTGGAAGAAAGCCACGCCAACATGCTTTAGGCACAAGTTATTGAAAGACAGCATGCCGACAAAAAGTCCCGATAACACGACCATATTCCGCGATAATCCTATACTGGGACTGTAGCTGATTGGATGGATGTCGGGATAGCACATTTTCCCCGCCCGTGTGTAGAACAGTACGAATACGACACTGATGATGCACTGAAAGAAGGCTACAAAGAGAGACAAATCCAGGGAGGAGAACCGACTCCCCACCAGATACTTGTTGGCAAACACCATTGATATAGACATCGTCCAGTAGTTCATGACCACTAGGAATATCTTTAAATAGGAGGCTCTCTCCTGTTTTTCCATCTCGTCTCTATGAGCACCTCTATTCCAAAATAAATTATTTCAGTTATTAACTGTTACTCCAGCTGATAATCTGGATGCAATCTCGTATGATGGTGGTCGATAAGTTATATGTATTTATATATGTATACAGCAACTTCCTAGAGTGAATATCGAAATGAATAAATGTTCATGGATGTGGGTCTTTAACAGTTAATGTGCACTGGTGACATTATGCAGAATCTTCTCTGGTTGACAGCAATGCTGGCACTGGCATCCACGTTGACATGGCCAGATTTAATGACTAAATAAATTAACTGCTCTCTGCCTGGTCTCGTTTCCGTGGGTTTTTTTCCTGTCGTTTTGCTTTTCTTTACTTGTCTAGCACAAAAGAAATGATCATAGTAAAGGTTGTGTGATTCACTTCAGTGGAGAAACTTCCTTATCCCCCATTGTGTGTGCCAGTCAGCATCATCTGGAAAATATTTCCAAAGTCTAATTAATTTTTGTTTTTAAAATAGAATTAAAATTTTACACTATATTTTAAATTTATTATTATATCATGTTTCTATATGACATAGCAGCAGCCATTTGTTAAGAAATGCTGAAATTCTATAGCTGACTTATTTATTGATGAAGAAGAATATATAGTGAATACTTGAACCAGCATTTTCAATAATACTGATCTTGTATGAATTGTATTGAAGCATTATTATCTATGCATGGTATCAGCTGTGCATTTATGTTTATAAATATATATACAGTAATATAACAGAATCTGAAACCATATAGTATAAGGTGCATTCTCTGCACAGGCTCCTACTCAGACTGAGAACAAACAAAATGAGACATTGACCCCATTCCCACAGATTTTAGATCAACCTATCCCCGTGGGGAGTCTCACTAGATTACTGTCAGCTTAGCCAGTTTACTAGTAAATGCTTCTAAAAGCTGTAAGGGGGTAATTAGTGCGCTTGGCTAACAGCAATTTATCGTGAACCCCCAGGGAGTTACGTCAATCCAGATGGATTGATCTAAATCTGTGGGAATGCAGTCATTGACTGCGTTCCCAAAAACTCATTGTACCAGCTGGATCAATCTAACTCTGTGGGGCTTCCCGCTAAGTGCTTTCAGTGTAATCAGCTTAATAGTCTGGAATACTTCCTTAACACTAGTGGGCTGAATATGGTCTTAAAGTGCAATTTAAGATAACTACTAGTAGTGATCCACGATCATAATCATTACAGCAGTAGTCTTAAAATGGACTGAATCTGCTTTTAAGTTCAAAAATGATCTAACATCTACATAAGTGGTCAAGCAGTTTCCTCCCCTCTCAATGGGGGGACACCTCCCCTCACAATAGAGGACACCTCTGCTCACAATAGGAGAATGTGTAATGGAAGACAACTTAATTGGCTGTTAGACTAGAAATGGTCTTACTCTTGGTTTAAGATCATGTACTAGTAAGACAATCTGTGATCTTAAATTGCACTTTAAGATCAAATCAAGCCCACTAGTGAAACACCCCATTCTCATAGATTAGATCGACCTACATTGGATCGACCTAACTCCCTGGGGGTTCACGCTAAATAGCTGTCAGCCGGGCGGACACGAAAGTTAATTACCCCTTAAAGCTTGTAGTAGGCAGGGACGGACACTTAAGGGGGATTATCTGACAGTAATCTAGTGAGACTCCCCGCGGTGATAGATCGATCTAAAAGTTGTGAGAACAGAGCCTAAGTAACTAGGGGGGCCAATAACTATCATTACCTCCTAGCAGCTTGAGTTGGCATGCCACATATTAAAGTTGCTCAAAATGAATGCAATTTTGTGAAAATCCCCTCAGAGTCAGATCGATCCAGCTAGTGCGATGAGTTTATGGGAACGCTCCCACTGAGGTTGCAAGGTCAATAGTTTTGAAATGTGCAACTAACTGAATTCTCCCTACAGCACATCACTTGATGTTAGAAAAAGCTTGCGAGGATCATAAAGGACTTTTTTTAACTTTCCCAGCTAGATACAGAGAGCTATATGACTAGTCTGGGGAGCAAGATCAAAGGTTGTTCAATTATAAAAATATACTGTTTATTTCAAATCCATTCATTAAAAAGGTATACTACTATACTGTATGTATTTAAAAATTTCCCTAGGTCATATTTTGCTTTTACTAGTATGTCAATATATATCCTGTAAAACTTTATATTTTCCAATTGAGGTCTAAAAGCTATAAAACCCTGTCATATAAAAGCACTGGCATTGATAGTTCTAGCAGGAAATGTACCGGAAAAAATATTTAAACCACCAAATTAAAGCACAGGGACAGGTCAAGCAAAAACTTGGGAAGAAGATGAAAATG